GGACATGGGAATTGTATACTAATGAAGGAATATTTTTTTTCTTTTTCTCTTCAGAGGGGGAAGCGAGCTGGTGGGGAGGGGTGGGCAGGGAGAAAAGTGCGGCAATGAATGAATGGAAATCCAAAAGCTCTGTAAATGTCTATTAAAATTAATTTAAAAAAATACATAAATGGCAGCTATGTACATGAGCTTGAGGAGCTGTGCAGGAATCATAGTCAAGATTGACTTTGTCTGTGGAAAAAGACCTTGGAAAAGCTCAGTATCAGCAGCTAAAACCTGTCCAGAGGCTGACTGGACAATACCATCAACTAGACATATTTAAGTTCAAACTAAAGTTGAAAAAAATGAAAACTAATCACAGGAACCAAATTATGACCTTGAGAGTATATCAACTCAATTTAAAAACTCTCTGAAAAAATAGATTTGATGCATTGAACACTAATGGCTGAAGACCATATGAGTTGTGGAATGAAAACAAGAACATCAACCATGAAAAGCAAAAGGTCATTACAAAGATGAGAAAAAGAAAAGGCCAAAATGGATGTCAGAACAGACCCGGAAACTCACACTGAAGTGAAAATATGTCAAAACATCGGGAAGACATGCTCAGGTAAAAGAGAGTTTGTAAAAAGAGCAAGGACACATGGGGCCTGCCATATCTGACCTTTACCAACTTCCCAAGCGGGAACTGTCTCCATCAACAGCACCAGTAACACAAAACCAGTTCCATGAGGTCAAATGTGTCTGCCATGCTCCTGTATCTCTTCCTACTCGTCTCAACACCAGTTCTACCAGAATCTAATGAAATACCTCACAGACCACACAGAATCATCCAGGTTAGTAGAATACAGTCAGGATGGCTTCTGAAATGTGCTCTCAGGCACCTCACCCTTGAGCCTTATGGCTTTAGGCTAGTTTAACAAAGTTCTCAATCCTACAGAGCATGTCTCCCTCCTCCGCCCTCCTTGTCCAGCAATCTTGGACAAAGGCTCTTAGATCTGGTTCCAGTGGTGTAACAGTCCCAAGGTCCCATCTCATCCTGACATGGTCTCTGGTCCTCCGTTGTGACTGCTATGGCTGCAGGTCCTCTTGCTTGCTCTTTTCTTGGCCATGGGGTTTCTTTTTTCTGCTTCTGGATCCACTCAATTTCATGGGGAGACTAGCCAGTCCCCTTGTGGCACATTCCCTCTCACCAACATGGCAAAGTAAAATTCAGTGGCTAGGAAAGCCATATTGAAAGATAAACTCCACAGAGTTGAACAGAAGATTTCAAGGGACAGCTTGAGGAGACAGTGAAAGTACTAGAATGAAATGTGTAAAGAATTGGAGTTAGAAAACCAAACGGGTAGAACATGCTTGGCATTTCTTAAGCTGAAGAACAAATCCTAACCTAGAGTTGTAATCCTGAAGGATTCTATGGTCAAAATCTTGAATGATGCAGGAAATACTGAAGATAAGTAAGAATACATTGTACCAAAATGAAATGGAACCATTTTAGGAAATAGCATAAGGCTGAGAATTAATAGTACATAAGGAAGAAGTCCAAGCTGCATTGAATGCACTGGCAAAATATAAAGCCCCAGGAATACCAATTAAGGTGTTTCAGGAAGTAGACACAACCCTAGAAGTGCTCACAGCCTCTGCCAAGAAATATAGAAGTCATCTACTTGGCCACCTGATTGGAGAGATCCATATTCATTCCCATTCCCAAAAAAGGTGATCCAATAGAAGGTGAAAATTTTTGAACAGTATCATTGATAGCACATGCAAGTAAAGTCTTGCTGAAGATTATTAAAAAACAGCTGTCTCTATTTCTTTTAAATAATTTTTTTAAATAATAATAATTTAAAAAAACACCAAAACACAGCCATCACAATACTTTGACAGGTAACTGCCAAAAATTCAGGCTGGTTTAAGAAGAGACTGTGTCCCAAGGCATATCATTGCTAATGTCAGAGGTATCTTGGCTGAAAGTAGAGAATGCCAGAAAGATACTTATTTGTGTTTTATTGATAAGACAAAGGTATTTGGGTGAATCACAGCAAGTTATAGCTAGCATTGAGAAGAATGGAATCCCAGAACACTTAATTGTGCTCAAGGGAAATGCATACACAGGCCAAGAAGCAGTTGTCCAAATAGAACAAGAGAATCCTGCATTGTTTAAAATCAGAAAAGGTGTGCCTCAAGGTTGTATCTTCATTCCTTTTCATTGGATATGCCCAGCAAATAATTTGAGAAACTGAATCATCTGAAGAAGAATGTGACTTAAGGATTGGAGAAAAACTCACCAACAACCTACATTATGCAGATACAACTTTGCATATCCCTAGTGCCACAACGCTCTTGGGAGTTCTCTGTTGATGTGCTGGGTCATTTTCAGCAGACGCTTGCTTGCATGTGATGTTAATAATGCTGTTCAGTAATTTCTTTACTCTGTCAGGCCATCTTTCTTTGAAATGGGAACAGATATGGATCTCTTCCGGTCAGTTTACAGGGTGGTTGTCCTCCATATTTCTTAGCACAACTTGGTGCATGCATCCAGGACAGCATCTGTTTGTTGAAGTATGCCAATTTGTATGCCATCAATTCCTGGGACCTGATTTTTGCCAATTCTTTCAGAGCAGCATGAACTTCTTCCTTCATCACTGCATGTTTTCGCTCATACCCATTAATCATCTTTATATGTATATATTAATGAATTATGAAGTACTGCTCAAGGACAGGCTTTTGTGATGATGTATTTGGGAGACACATTCTGCAGTTCAGTTATGAAAATCTTCAGAGCCACCAAATTTCCTTCTGTGGAACGTCTGTCTACTATGAGCAGTACTCCCATGCCAGGCCCAAGAATATACCAGATGCTCAACAAATAAAAGGAATTTCTTGTAAAGGCTGATACACCATTTCTGAGTGATCAGTTTTCATTCAGGCTTATAGTATCTCATTCATTTCCTTTTCTCCCCCCCCCCCCCCCCCCCAAAAAAAATGTTTTCATAGAGTAACTCTAATCTGGGTTTGTTTTTTTTAAGTATTCATTTCCCATTCCCACTCAAATTTTAAAACTTAAAATTGTAAATATCATTGA